AAAAAAAAAAGTGAAGTTTTGTTGAAACCGGTTGAAAAATGTAGGAAATCCGATCCCATATATAAACGAACACACACACACACACACACACACACACACACACACACACACACACACACACACACACAACCTGGGTTTTATAATAAGTATACCTCGATATGAGTTGTCCCCCTTTCATTCTCGTGATGCCTCTTAATTGTATTTTCAAATTGATTTCATGCAAAAACAATTGTGTTTTTCCAATTTTTGGCACTGTCAGCACCATCGCAAGGTAATTTTACGTAGTCCTGTGAAGTTTTGTTGAAATCGGTTGAAAAATGTATGAAATCCGATCCAATATATAAACGTACAGACACACACACACAACCTGGGTTTTATAATAAGTATGATTTTATGTAATTTTTGAGGAAGTGTTTATTAAGTAATTTGAACAAAAAATTGAAGCAGTAATTTGCTCTATATACACCTGATGAAGGCAGGAGGTTACAACGATCGAAACGTTGTTATAAGAACAACAATGATGAGGACAATAGTCCGAATGTAAATATTGTAAATACTATCTAACGAACTTGTGCAAATATTTGACAGAACAGGGAAGGTTAGCATAAAGAGAACTATTACTAGCTACAAATGGCAGGAGGTTGTGGAGGGCTATTATCGCCTGAAGAGATACGATATAACAGGCTAAAATGGTGTACTGTTGTCATATTTGGGCGCGACATAGTATTAAACCACTCATATTCAGGCCGGCAAACAAAAGTAAATAAATATACTATTGTCCTCATCTTTGTCGCCATGTTTATCACAACGTTTCGGCCGTTGTACGCTCCGGCCTTTTCTTCAGGTGGTTGGAATGTTGAACTGAACCCTTTATTTCGCTCACTGGAGTAGACTGTTCTAGTTCCACGTGCCATGTCTAATGGATGTCAGTTATCAGTTATCTCCTACTCAATTCCCCTCTCCAAGTTCTCCACCGCCTTAACCAGGTATACACACACACACACACACACACACACACACACACACACACACACACACACACACACACACAGAGAGAGAGAGAGAGAGAGAGACTCACACACATATATATATACACACACACATATATATAGAGAGAGGGAGATTGAGAGATAGATTAACATTTAAAATAGAAATGCTTTACAAATGAGGAAGAAAGGGATTGTCTGTGGTCAGGAATTAATGCAAAAGTTACTAAGTAATTATATGAATAATAGGCAAGTGTTCACTGGAGAAATGCCTTGCAAATGAATAAATGTATTTTCAACGTTCAAGAAATAAGGTGTTACTGATAAAATGCTAGTTGTTCTCAGGAATACATCTCGATAAGAATGGGTGGGACGTTTTCGTCTTTTACGCCGCGTGACTGTCTTTTTTTTTTTTTTTTGCATCTACGAGAAAAAGAACGCAAGAAAATAATTCCTCCAAATGTAAAATGCTGCTACCTTTAAAGCAGAGAACGCCTTTTCAAGGCAGACCTTTTCAAATGCTCGCTGCGAATGGAAAGGAAAAGAAAAGAAAAAAAGCAAAAACAATTCGCTTCCCTTTCATTTCTTTGAGGCGTATCCCTCAATATCACGTATGTTTCGATTTTTTCCTGAACACAGAGAAGATGCAATTCACGCATGTGCACACAGACTTGGAAACGTGTTGAAATGCTTAATCGTTTTCGGAAGCGACAAGCAATGTTACCCGTTAATGGAAGAACAACTTCACGCATTTAATTATAATATTGCATAAGAAAAGCATTGACGAATTATATCTATCCGGTTATGGAGTGGCAAAAGAGGGACTTTTTCTTGACTCCGCTATTATTTTAACTACCTCCACTCCTCGACAATGTTTATTGTTTTATAAAGCGATTATTAGAATTCTAATAAAAACTAAAGAGACAAAGTGAATTTATACAGTTTCTTTGTTCTTGGCGCGGTAGGTATAAAACGTTGTTCCGTCCCTTCGTTCGGGAAGACAGTACCCGATCCCTTAAATTCACCAACCACGTGGCGCACTCTCTCTCACAAACCGATGCGAATTTTTCTTTTTTGTCTTCTGTATTAATGACAAAAAGTAAGGGAAATAATGATGGAAGTCTGACAATGATGAATCCAATTATTTATGCGAAACTGGATCACAATTCGCCCACGGAGTTCTGGGGTGGGGATAATAAGACCCAAATCTACTTTATAGCAATGTACACGCGGTGTTTCCTCTGTTGAGCGGGCCCCGGTGCGAGCACCGATCCTTCCCTGTGGTGCAATGGGAGGGAGCGGCCTCGCATTTTTTCCTTCAAGATCGATCTATCTATCTATCTATCTATCTATCTATCTATCTATGTCTAGTCATTATCTATCTATCTATCTATCTATCTATCTATCTATCTATCTATCTATGTCTAGTCATTATCTATCTATCTATCTATCTATCTATCTATCTATCTATCCTTGGACAGAGATGCAACTGAGAGATGATAAGTAGACGCGTTCTTACTCAAAAAGAGGAAGGTACTCGCTAAATATCAGTATTATATATTATCAATTTCTACGCAATATCAGTTTTCAGGTTTAACTAATTTGCATATTGATTTTTAAAATGTATAAATTCATTAAATAACTGTCTTTCATTACTGTTCTTTTATTCGGGGATTGTTTTGATTTTCATATCAAAAATAGTTTTGTTTAGGAATATTGTCTTATATAGTGCAGAAAAGTATTTGAAATTTGCATTTTTCTTAGCCTTCAACAAGTTGGCATCTATAATTTGTAAAACTTAACTATAAAAAGCTTGCTCCCCCCACATCCGACTAATTAATTTCTTTTGTCTTTACAGTCATATTCTTTGAACAAATATTTTGAACGTCCACAACCCTTTCAAAATTTCATATATAGGGAACATTAATCCCATAGAAAAACAAGTAATTTTTCTTAGACAAATGACCAGGTTATGTTTTTCATTCATGCAAATACATGTATGTATTTCTGTCAACACTTCTTAAATGTTGCTCAGTTTCAATATGTTTCATTTGTTTAAAAATGGATAATATTCTAATGTTTAGCTATCTGAATAAATAAAATTGTTTTCTTTCATGTTTGCAATCAATTTATGAATGGAAAGGTTAACTTAAAATTTTTGTTTCAAAGATTTCAAGTAGTGAATTTATCTTACTTTGAAAGCGGGCGAAGCCTGCTAGTAAAATAATAATAGAAGTCATCTGAATTTAAGATGACAGAAATTTTCGGCAATAATAATAATAATAATAATGGCTGAAAGTATTCATCAAAATAATAATGGTTGACAATATTTCATCAATATAAAAATGGCTGACAATACTTCATCAATATAAAAATGGCTGACAAATTTTCAACAAAATAATAATGGCTGACAATACGTCATCAAAAAATTAAATTAATAATAGCATGACGACTTTAGGGCCTGGAATATAATTAAAATTCAATTTCTAATCTTAAAATAAAAATAAAACACCATATCTATTCAATAGGAGAAAATCCAAACAAATTCATTTAAAACCTGAAAAAGAATAGATTGACTGAAAAAGCCTTGATAACAAAAATATGAATAAAACATCTTTACTGACAATGTTTGTCTTTGAATAGACAACACGTAATCTTTCATTTTCATTTGAGAGGCTTTCCTCTGTTTGACCTTTAACATATCTCCTCTGTCAGTTGGTCTCCCTTATCTTCTGATACGAAAGGCCAATTCAAACTCATCTTCATGTGACCTTCTTAAATGACTTGGCAGGCGGTGGGGTCTGCATCACATCTTAATAATTATATCGATTCCTCAATACAAGACGCACAACCTGAAGGCAGAGTCAGGCCTCACCGTCCTCCCTAAATTAATCTTGTTCCCACATTTTTTTCCTTCAAGATCTATCTATCTATCTATCTATCTATCTATCTATCTATCTATCTATCTATCTATCTATCTATCTATGTCTAGTCATTATCTATCTATCTATCTATCTATCTATCTATCTATCTATCTATCTATCTATGTCTAGTCATTATCTATCTATCTATCTATCTATCTATCTATCTATCTATCTATCTATCTATCTATCCTTTCCTGATTTATTTCCTTCTATCTATCTATCTATCTATCATTATCTATCTATCTATCTATCTAAGTCTATTCTATCTATCTATCTATCTATCTATCCATCTATCTATCTATCTATCTATCTATCTATCTATCTATCTATCTATCTAAGCCTATTCTATCTATCCATCTATTCATCTATCTATCTATCTATCTATCTATCTATCTATCTATCTATTCTATCTATCTATCTAAGTCCTATTCATATCTATCTATCTATCTATCTATCTATCTATCTATCTATCTATCTATCTATCTAAGTCTATTCATATCTATCTATCTATCTATCTATCTATCTATCTATCTATCTATCTATCTATCTCAGTATATACATATTTATCTTTTTCGCTCTATTCATAATCTATCTATCTATCTATCTATCTATCTATCTATCTATCTATCTATCTCTCATATACATAATTATCTTTTCGCTCTATTCATATCTATCTATCTATCTATCTATCTATCTATCTATCTATCTATCTATCTATCACGGTCTGTTTTCATCTCAGTCCATTCAGATCTATCTCGGTTCATTTGTCTGTTCTTCATATCTGTTTCTTATATATATATATATATATATATATATATATATATATATATATATATATATATATATATATATCGGCCTCTTGTGTTGAACGTAGTGCTAGTGTACTTTCACGATCTCAGGTAAAAAAGTTTCAAATATTGGTTTTAAGTCAGGAAGACCCACCCTCTTGAAAGATTAGCGCATTACAATCTTCCTATCTCCAACCACCTCCTCTTCCCCACAGGCTTATCAATGCGTGCCGTGAGAATTTCGAGTGCAAAATACGATCGGGTCAGCTAGGATGAAAGTGGAAATGGTGAGACATTAGAGGCTATAGCCTGGAGAAAAGAGTGTGGCGTGTGGGCGTGGAGATGCTCTGGACGCTGTGGGAAAGAGATATTGAGGAGAAAATGGCGGGACAACACTAAATAAGAACAAAAAAAAAAAGGATTAAGGCGAACACTCGTGTTATAAGTCGGGATTTTAATATGTATATTTTAGCGCCCCAAATGTTAAGAAATCTAAGAAGGCGTCGGCTTACTTGAGTGATAATAGTTTGATTAAACTGAAATCTATTTGCGACGGGTAAAGGCTGCCTGATGATATGACAAACCAATTTCGAATCAGGCTAATATAGTCAGTTACATCTTCGCACATATTTAAAGAAAAATATTATTATTACTTTTAAGCGTTTCACCCCAAGCAAGGCGAAAAGACACTAGCACGCAAGAGGTTACAGAGAGTTGGAGCGAGAGCAAAGATAAGTGATAGAGGAAAGGATGAAGAGAAGGATAGGGGATAGATCAAGGCATATGGAGACGTCGATTGACATTACATTTGAATAGTTGGAGATTATAGCTATCAGGAAAACAGGAAAAGGGGAGGGAGTTCCACAGGCAAGACATAAAGCTATTGGAGTAGAAGAGACGGCTACATTTAACAGTATCGACAGTAAGATGGCGAGAGCGATATGCCAGCCTAGTTGAACGCTTAAATTCACGAAGTCTGGGAACTAGCGAAAGCAGCTCATCGGAGCAGTTACCGTGAATGTATTTGTAAAAAAGACAGAGGGGGGCGACGGCACGTCTGTGAGAGAGCGACTGCAGACGAGATGCCAGATCAGGGCCAATTATATTGCATATCCGTCTTTGGATATTATTAAGGACCTTGAGACAAACAGAAGGGACACGGGACCATATATGGCAGCAATACTCCATGCAAGGTCAAATGGTTGATTTGTAGATTTGAAGGATCGACTCCGGCGAGAAAAATTTCCTGGCGTGGCACAGGGAGCCAACTTTCCTTGCGGTGGACGAAGCTATTGACTCAATGTAATTGTTCCATCTTAGGTCAGCCGACAGTGTGAGACCGAGCAGTCGCAGTGAGGTGCTCTCGCGGAGTTGAGCATCAGACATTCTAATGGGAGGCAGGGAAGGTTCCCAGTGGTGAGTAATAGAGGGCAATTTTGTTTTAGAGGCATTAAAGTTAACCAGCCAATTCTTGCCCCAGTCCACAACCGATTGGAGGTTCTTTCGAGACAAACGGCCAGGTTAGTTTTGTCAGCGACATTAGATTTGTTTTTGAGGCAGGAATAAATAGTAGTGTCGTCCGCATAGATGCCTACTTGAGAACCTTTTTTTTATTATTATTTTTATTTTCTTTGATTTCTGGCGTTTACACATTTCTTTCCGGGTATTTGACGGCATATAAGACGCACTGGTGTATAAAACCCCAATTTCAACAGGGGAAATCAACAAAATTTAGTAATTAGTGAAATTAGTAAAATTATTAGGAAATAGGCTATATTTATGAGGTATTATTTTGGTTAAATAATTCATGATAACACTTAAACGAAAAATAATAGGGAAAAAAGAACACGAGCCTATAAAAGCTTTATTATATCCAAATTTTATTATATATAAAACTTATATTATATCCAAAGGTAAGAAAACAAAATAAAAATCGTGCAATTATTACAATTGAGCAAAACAATAAAGTTACCATTAAGATTCCGTCAAAAATTTACCTTTATATGATCTGTAGAACCTGCATCTTGGAATAATTAGGATATAAAAATTCTGATTGTATTTATACAAATGCAACCGGAAGTTATCGAAAGAAAAATATTAATGAAACAAATATATTTTACAAATATATAATTTGAATTTATTGCATATAATTTTAGTGAAACAAATTAGTAATATTAAACGTGATGAAATTAATATAATGAATATTATCAATGATAGCACTTTTAATCTGCATAATAGCCTTTTAAATAATGACAATAGGTATATGAAAGTTACTCTAAAGTCTAAGGTAATAGGAGTTGCCAGGTAGATAATTTCGGCCGACTATCACAAATTTTAAACCTACATATGACATATAAGACGCAGGGTAATTTAAAAAGATATTTTTAGTAAAAAAAAAAGTGCGCCTTATATGCCGTCAAATACGGTAATCTTTTGTTAACTTGGAGTGAGGGTGTACCTAGGTACTTGATGATTTTACTTTATTATTTTTGTATCAGGAAATATTTTTAGATTCTTGTTGTTGTTGTATTTGTTTGTTCTTTGCTTCTGGTAGGACAAGTTGCCCCTAAGTTCCAAACAGAAACTTCAAGAGACAACAAGGTTTTAATTTTATATCAGAAGATGCAAACAGATGAGATCTGCGATGCAATCAGAAAAAAATAATATCATTGTGGCCATTGGATGGAAAGAAATTTACACAAGATGTGAGAATTACCCGTGACTATGCTTTTAATATACCCGTCACTATACCCGTTACTCGTGACTATATCTTAATACCCGGGATTACTTTTTTGCAAATTG